CACCTCTCGCTGTTGTGGTAGGCTTGGTTGGTCCCACGTGACTCTGGGAATCCCTCTTCCCCCATCTTTCCTGGACCCACATCTAATCTGTTAACTGTTGCCTCTCTCTTTCTAGGTGGTGTAGGGGGGCAGGTCTGGACACATACACCCTTTCAGGGGGTATGTTCTTGAGGTGGGCAGTTCCTTCATATCAACTTCCTTTGAATGTTGGCTGCTCATTAAATTTGTTGTCATCTTCAGTCTCATTTGTCTGGCCAGTTTGTCAGGATCCATTTGGAAAACTCCACTTTCAGGTTGTACATCAACTTGTAAGGAGGCACTCATTCTCAGAACCTCTGCTTTCTGGCTCTGGATTTTATTATTTAGGTCCACGGCCATCACATTTAGTTGATGGCCTGTCATGTCCCAGGAGCTTTGAACATAGTGATTAATTTACTGTTTTGCTTGAAATGTATCTTTCCATTAAAATGTATCTGGACTGTGAGACGCTTACATAACCTTTTGACTCGTACATCTCAAAGATCTCTGAATGAATGCAGTTGAAACAAGTAGTAATTTTTTCAACCCCTAACAGGTGCCACACCCACCTTCAACAGAATTTTTTCAGCTTTGTATCCTACATGTCGATGTTACGTACACGTGTCATTAAGGGCTCCTTTTACACTATAATCTAACAATGGTTATTATGAATTTGCTGCCCAGTTGTCATCACGGAAAACATGTAACTAACTGTAGTATTATTGGCTGCTTGATCGACTATAGCACTTACAGTTGTTTCTTACCTAAATATGTTATATTTAGAGGTACAGCTTAAATTGTATTTAGGCCTTACTGTTGTATTTTAGTTAATTATGTATTAGCTATGTTTTAAAATGCATAATTGAAAAGTTTAAACATTTTTTAAATATACACCATACTTTTCATCAGTTTTCAAGGCTTATGATATTATGTGGTTCACAAAGATTTTGCTGAAGGATTGCACGTGTCTTCCCTCTAGGCCACCATTGACTTGCGTCAAGATGAAGAATAAATGGTAAAGGACGAGAATGGAAAATAAAACATTAAAAATTACTATATTGGAAAAGGAAAAGTCCTGAAATTACTAATATAACCAAAACAATAGCTTTAAAGATATTCTACAAAAAAATGTACATTTTTCTATTTCCTACTTTTAATCATTTCATTGCATTGTACATTGATGATAATAGCTGCAGTTAGTGATATGGTAGAGAAAATGAAAAATAAAATATAAACACTTACCTTAAAAAAAAACTTTTGATGTTCATATAGGTTCTAGAGGCTATGCAAATAAAATATAAAACTATAAGATCAAGAAAAGTATTTTTATACTTAAAATGAAAATCACCTTGCACTCGAACTACTACTATAGATAAATAACATTTTTATTAGAAAGACATAATTATAACGTCATTCTTTGTGTACAAGATACTTATAAACTTTAACAAAATCTTGCAAGGTTTTGTGAGAAGTGCTCAGAGTTACCTTATATTTTTGCATAAATGTCCTTCCCCAGTGGAGTTGATGCGAACTGCATCAGCCTGTGCTGAAAGGGTTAATACTTGTAGGTGATGTAGCTTTGTTGAAGCCTTGTGGTATGTGCAGATATTATCAGGGCAGTGGGGCAAGGTAATAACTCTTTGTTGTGCAGACATGTGAGTAACTGTCTAAAATACATTTTCAGATAAGGTTAATGTTACGTGCCTTTATTTATCAAAACTAAAAATCAATCCAGTGATGAGTATAACTAGATAAGGTTAATGTTACGTGCCTTTATTTATCAAAACTAAAAATTAGTCCAGTAATGAGTATAACTAGTTAAATATGATATTTTTAGTTCTTGCTTATAAAGAATCATTAGTTGGTTACTCTCACTGTTAGTAATATTTGTGTCGTAATTCCAATAATATCTCACTTGTATGTCTTAAAAGTAGAAAAATTTAGGTAATTGTGAAAGCAAATATGAAATGTGAATAATATATAACATTTAAGGACAAGGGGCCTGTTGGCCCATCAAAGTAATTCCATCAATTAAACTAAACTATATACAAATATATAAAACAAAAAGAAACATCAAGCCTTTAACATTTAAATACTTATCAAGCCTTTAACATTTAAATACTTATCAAGCCTTCTCTTAAACTCCACTAAAATTTACTGCATTTAACCACATCTGAAGGGCAACCAATGTGTCAAAAGTAAAACTTGGATGAATATTACTCTTGTCTTACCATTCTCTGAAAAAAGTTAATGCATCAACACTGTCAGTTCCCTTAACAATCTTAAACACCTAAATCAGACCCCATCCTAACTTTTTGAGTTTTTTCAAGATAAAATGGTTTGAGAGATCTTAACCTATCTTCTTTTGACATCCATTCCATCCAAGTACCATCCTAATAGCCCTTTTCTGAACCCTTTCCAAAAATTCAATGTCATACTTAAGATAAGGAGCCCATGACCAATAATGAGGCCTGACCAGTCATCTATAAAATGAACTTATAACCTCTTTAGATTTATATTTAATATCTATATAAATACAACCCCAAATTCTGTTTGCCCTATCACTACCAAATATTTGTTGTGTAAAATATAGAGGACACACAAATACACTTAACTACAGCTTTTATCTTTTTTTTTTTTCTTTTTTTGTGAAGGGGAGGATATCCAGGAAACTAGGAGATTGGGAAGCCTCATTAGCTCAGTCGTAATTTATTTTAATTCTATGAAGTAATGTTGATTGTAAAATATAGTTACAGTGTATCTTGCACTTTTCACTTTCTCATTTATTGGAATCTAAGTATTCCAGCTCTAGCATCAGTAGCTTAACAAACATCAGTTTCTTCTGCTGAATAAAATTATATGGTTTAAATGTATTTTGTTCTACATTTTCTGTGTTAGGTAAAAGAGCAAGCTGGAGGAGTAAACATCAAGGCAATCACTTATGTTCCATCTCTATTATGGCTAGTCAAGGCAGAAGACATTGACTTCTACTTGGACCTCGTTGCTTATATTGGCTTTGTGCTTTCCAGTATTGTTATGATTACTGGGGCAGCCAATGTGATAACTATGGCAACCCTGTGGATTCTTTATCATTCTATAGTCAGTGTTGGTCAGAGATGGTGAGTTTTGTTGAGAAAACTAACATAAATGAGTTTCAAGTAAATTGCTATTAGTTGTGATATTGTTTATACTTACTATCTGAATCAGTTGTTTATACCTGAATATATTACAAGTCATTGCAACTATTCAAACTTTGGCTAACAAGTTTCCTGTTTCCTTTATGTTACTTGTATTTATAAACTACATGAACTAAGTATTAAATAAAATACAACTAAGGTTATTGGAGGCTAGCTTGTTCAATAACTTGGTAATGTATACTAACAGAAAAAAGAAACTGTGCAGGACTTAAAATAGAATAAAATTCATATACATTAGGTTTAGTGTTGTGACATATAAAAAAAATCAATACAGGATATTTCGTTGAACATATCGGGTAGTACTCGACTCGGTTGCATGGGAATTTTCACGGTTTGTGAACACCCATTTGTTCATTCACATTTCTTACCCACAATTTTTCTTTGACCATGTTTTCTGAATAAACAGGTGTAAAACGTTTATTCAGGAAATCATTTTTGTTTCACCGGGAATTACACTTCTGTAATGCCAATACTCAGTGAAGATGAATGTCTTTGTGCAGTTGGAATGCTACAGGCTGGTGTGGTATAGAACTTTGTTGCAAAACGTTTGGAGTCCATTGGAACACCATCCACTCTATGGTGACGATTCCAACAAGCAGGCATTAACCAACATCTGGAATAACATTCCACGGGCCTTTTTGAACAATGAGGTGCTTTTGTCAAGCATGTGTAGATGCAAATGGTGGACACACGCAATATTAGCTCTGTAAGTTTTCTTTTGAATACCAGCATTTTTCAAATGCCCTAAATATTATGTTTGGTGAGGTTAACATTAATTGACTATGAAATTTTGTAACCATTTGTTACAATACTGCAAAATTAAAATTATATTTGTTTGATTTTTCTTGATTTTTTTTCATATTTTAAGCAATGCACAGTTTCTTTTTTCTGCTAGTATACTTGTCTGTTGAAATGTGTGAACAAAGTAAAACTAGATTTTTAAAAATATTGATCAGAAAGTTTGATTTTCTGTATTTAATTAGAACTAGCTGGTTTTATTTTCATCAATTCTTTATATTTGCTACTTAAAAGTTGTAGTTGAAATGCCAAAAACTGCGCAAAATATGTAAAACCAATAGGCCTAACAGTTGTTCTTGTAACAATATTTTATACTTGTTTTTACCTGTTGAAGCAGTTATGTAGCTGTAAAAACAGCATGTTAAACACTAATGAACCATAAAAGAATTGACTGGTAGAAACATAACTTGCACTCGTATCCTAGGCCTACACTGATTTAGGTGGTACTTTTCCACCTGAATTTTTGGACAAGCTCAAATTCTATCTAAAAATTATAGTTTGTTTTCAATAACTAAGGAGCTCTTGCACTTTTTATGTGACTGATGATAAATTTTCTAACACATCCAAATAAACAAGATTTTCTGTTATTTGAATAGCTTGTTATCACAGAATTTCTAGTTTATCATACTTGCTAACCCTAAAAATCTTTACCTTATGTCTTCTCATAAACTACAATTGTTTATTATAAGTAGCTTAAAGCTCATAACATTATTTTTCTGTTTATACTTAATTCTATTGTTTTATTACCCTTTGAACTGTGTGTAACTCATAATCCTGCCACAGTTGTAAATCACTCAGCGAACACATAGCTCATGTTACTGTATTGAATGATGTAATGCCTGAGCTGCTTATGAGCAAACCTCATGAAAAATATTATTTTCATTATACTACCTAATCTAACCTTACATAACCTAATAAGTTTCTAATTTTTACATTTAATTACTTTTATAAAAATTCATACAGAATATACACGAAAAACAATAATTATAGTACTCACCTTTGATCTCTTGGTTTTTTGCTGTCAGTTGCTGATGGAATTTAAGGCCTATTTTTTTATATTGTTGGCACTAGTACATTAAATTTTTATTTACTTTAATAATTCATCCAAGAACAGAGAATAATAACACCCACACACACACACAAAGCAAACAGCATTCTATAACTATTATAGTCTAAGTAGCTTTCTAACTAGGACTAGTGAGGTTTAAATTAATTTCCTTTGCTGCTTGATCTGAACACCATGAGATAATCTTTCAAACTGAAGTTGAAATTAACAGTTCTATATATTGAAAACAACATAGCTTTATACATTATTCTGTTGGTTATAAATAATATTGTATAAAATGTCAGAAAAAATTATTGGCAGTTTGTGAAAGAGAGGATGTGACAGGTGGGTGTGGCAAGTGGGTCTGATTTTTTAGTATATGACTCTGAAAACAAAGAAGAACAAAGGCTATAAAAATTAGACTTTGCCTTAATAATACTGTATTATAACGAGCATTTTATGTTGCATCAGCGAGGTCACGTGACTAGTATCACGCCACTTCTTTCTCGAACCTTCCTAGATTGGGGGGTAGTCTAGTATATATAAGATGGTGACAATGTGATGGGATAATGTGTAGGGAGTGAGTAATTGATCTGCCGTCAGAAAGTATTGTTGAAGTTAACGTTCATTGTTATAGCGTTTGTTTTAGCGCGAATGT